ATCTCACTTGAATAACAGATGTTTTTTCTCCCTCGTTTTAACCCAATGTTCTAAATATTCTTTTTATTGATACTCTATAAAAAAAAGCAATGACATTACCGCAAAATGTATGTGTCTAATATTAAAAGTTTTTTTCTGCAGAGTTTTGTTCATGTATCACTTACGGTAGGGGCGAAACGCACCATCAAGCATAGCTCCCCCACCCACACTACGAGAATCCAACATTAGATTTCATTCGAAGGACGTTGTCATTTACCTCGCTGTAACCACTCCAGTATTTGTAACTGGTTCCTATGTCGCCATTTATCACAACAAGACCACCCCATCATTTGTCATCTTTTACCGACCAACCCGATTTAGTCACCATTTCCAATGACATCCCAGATGATGCCACAATTTCCTATGACATCCCAGATGATGTCACCATTCCACATGACGTCACAGATGATGTCACCATTCCCCATGACATCCCAGATGATGTCACCATTCCTATGACGTCTCCCACCAAGACACTAACGTTTCCCCATCACGCGATTACAATACTTGCTACCATCTACCGCGATGCCATCACCGCAGGAAATCTTACCGCCGACATCCGCCGTCATACTACGTGATCTACCAAGCTTGAAAAAATTGCCTCATCCCCACCCCCACCCTCCCAGGGCCCGCTTCTCTAATTCTACTTTACAGTGAGCGCCGGAGCTGTTGTAGTAATTACGTGTGGCATCTTGCACACTTCTATAGACACTGGGCGGGAAGTGGGGGAGGGGGGGTGGGGGAGGGATGGTAATTTTTAAAGCTACGTTACATCCATTTTCTTTGAGATTATATTTTAGAATTTAATTTTGGAACACTAGCAGTTTCAGTTAAGAATTTTATAAAAATGGTTGAGAAAAAAACACGACGCAAAATTTTAAATTACTCGGTTTTTTTTATGTTCTCTTTTGGTGACGTTAAAAATATATTTCAGTCGTTGTTGGTAAAATTTGACACGGTTTTTTTTTTTAAAACCACCAGAGACAGGATTCTTGTAATCCACAATCTTAACATAACCCACACAACCAATCACTACCACTACAACCTAACTCACACAACCAACCACTATCACTACAACCTAAGTTGTTTCACAGTACACCTGTCTAGTTCAAGGTGTTTCACACTACACCTGTTAGATTCTAATTCTAGAGTCATTCCCATCTTTCTATAGAATGTAGTAGTTTGTTCACATTTACCCTGCCTCCTATCTTCAAAAATTGTTTTCATATTCCCTACCCCAATAGTCGAAGTGTTCAGGTACCCCCACCCACAAAAATGTCACTTCCTTTCGAGTTATTTAATTACACTATTACTAAATACAAACCGTATTTTACGAAATAAAGTTCTACATATACCACCCCTTTGCAGCTGAAGCACGACGCCCTGTCGTCCACCTACTCCCCGCAGCAACAACAGCAATTGCAACAGCATCACCAACTCAACCAGGAGAAGCAGCAACACCTTAAACAGCAGCACGTCAACAGCATTAAAGCCGGCACGGGCGTGGTCAGCACCACCTCGGCAGCCAAGCGGACGAACGCGGAGCCGCGCGCCAACAGCCGGACGTACACGCCAGAGGAGAGGTCTGACACGGAGACGCTGGCCAACCTGAAGGAAGACAAAGCGAGCCCGCCCTTTGGGCGTAGCATATCGAGCAACGACTGCGTCCGAAGCCCAGACGAGATCCACGTGGAGAAGAAGGAGGATGAGGCCCTGCCGCCCCACGATCACGAGATGGCCGACAACGACATTGATATTAATGAAAGATACAGCAACGACCGCCAAGGGTACTCGATGAGTTCCAGACGGTTCAGCCATAAAGAGGACCGAGAGAGAGACCGAGCGATGGACCGAGAGAGGGGCCGAGAGAGGGACCGAGAGAGAGACCGAGCGATGGACCGAGAGAGGGACCGAGAGAGGGACCGAGAGAGGGACCGAGAGAGGGACCGAGAGAGGGACCGAGAGAGGGACCGAGAGAGGGACCGAGAGAGGGACAGAGAGAGGGACCGAGAGAGGGACCGAGAGAGGGAGAGAGAAAGCGAACGAGAAAGAGACAGGGAGAGGCACAGGGAAAGATACAGGGAGAGGTATAGAAGCGATCGAGGGTTCAGATCTCGGAAACGAAGCGGAAGTTTCGAGAAAGAGAGACGGGAGAGCTTGAAGGAGAGGAAGCCGCCAGGGGGCAATAGCTCCAGCAGCCAAAACAAGGACTGCAACATGGACCAAGGTCACAGCAGCCGGGACAGCGTGAGCCGGCACGAGCAGAGCTTCGACCACAACGCCGGAAAAGAAGACGACGCGATGCCAGCCGGCAACAAGAACGGCGCGGGAAACACCGACAACTCGGATCTGAGACCGCCCAAACGACTCATCGAGTGCCGAAACCTAAACACGCGCATGATCCCAACGTCTTCCTCCAGGAAACAGCGCCACCCCATGCGCAGGTTCAGCTCCGCAGGGAGCGAACAGGAATCCACCCAGTCGACCAACAGCCTGCCTGTCAGCCCAAACAGAATCAAGGACATCGAACCTGGCGGTCTTCACGATAACGAACTCGTGACCTTCCTGCTGACTGAAGGTCGCGTGCACAAGTGTTTTCACTGCCACATGATATTCAAGGACACGTCACTCTTCATCCTACACAACGGCTTCCACGCGCACAATGAACCGTTCCGCTGTGTTGTCTGCGGCTCCGTGTGCAAGGACCGCATTGACTTCAACTGCCACCTGATTAGTCATATAAAATGACTTATTGACTAAATTCACACACACACGCACACACACAAACAAATACACACACTTAAACACACACTAACACACACTCACATACACACTTAAACACACTCACACACACACACTCACAATCACAAACACACACACAATCACACAAACACTAACACACACTTACACACACTCACACACACAAGCACAAACACACTCACACACACACATTAACACACTCACATACACACTTACAAACACACATACACTCTCACACATACTCTCAGACACACATTCACACACACACACATTCACACATACATATTCACACAAACATTCACACACACAAACACACATTGGAGATAAAAGATTTTTCATTATTTTATCACACCCAAGCTTTTCATATGGAGCAAATATATAATCATCAATTAAATGTCAGCTGTTGGAATTTTTCAAATCCTAATCTATTTTTTGCTCTGTGTTTAAGAAATAAAAATTTAATGCAACATGCCAATCCAGACATAAAGTTTTATAAGCTGTTGGCTATTTAATTTTTTGATTTTGATATGATTGGAGATGAATCTTTTTTTCTTTATTTTATCACATCCAAGCTTGTTATGTGGAGCAAATATATAACCACCATTTAATTTCTTTTTGTATAAATGTTAGATAATTCAGTATTCTTCACCTTAGTAATAAATAATTTTTAAAGAAAAATCTTACTTAATAGTTATTTATTACTTTCCAATGTCATCATCATATCACATGAAGCAAAAACATAATTGCGGTGTCAGTTCTATCTCTAGATACTTTATGTTTTCCTAGCTTGAGTTAGGTACTCATCAGAGTTTGGTGGACTCAGGTTTATCCTACCAACTAAATATAATGGTATCAGTTTCATATTGATGTATAGCTTCTATTTAATATTCTCTAAAATATATTTTACAAGAAAGACTTAAAACTTAAAAAAAAACCATGTCTTTAAAACAAAAACACAATCTATAGGATGTTTTGTTGTAACAAATGTTGGGCTGTCTTCCTATACATGTCTGCTAATACACCTATGTTGTGTTTCTGTACTAAGTTTCATCGTCATTTCAACAATATAAACAATATATACCATAGTTTCATTTAATTTTATGAATTCTGCAAAGCTGTTTGTCCAGAGATAATAAGTGGTGTTTTGTGAACTCTAGTCACTGCAGTTGAATTTTTTGTACACAGTATATTTATGCAGAAGATGGTGTAGGAACTAATTTTTAAATACTACATAAAAATATCTATGCTTTTTAGATCTACCATACAATTAAATGGAAAGTTAAATAAGCCCCTTTAATTGAAACTAACTATCAATAAACAAAATTAAAAAAGAATGAAAGTTATTTTTTGTAAAATAACTTCGGCAAGATGATAGTTAGTTGAAACACATGTGTCAGCTCTGTATAATCAAATTCTAGTTAAAAATTCATGCTGTTTTGGCCTACTTGATGGGAAAAAATTTCTTTAATGACACTGAGAGATGTGTATCACCTTAAAAAGGAACATTTATCTTGATAATTGATATTGGAATCAAGTTTATGTATTTTATAATTATTTAAGGAAATTAAAATAATTCTAAACTTTAAATTTGTTTTTAAAAAGATGCAACTCTAATAAAGAAGATAAATTTTAAAAAGATTTATAATTTCTTTTAACACTGAAATCTAATAAATATTCAATTGCAAACACACTGTATTACATATATACATACTTATATATATATATATATATATATATATATATATATATATATATATATATATATATATATATATATATATATATATATATATATATATATATATATATATATATATATATATATATATATATATATATATATATATATATATAGGGTAAGGATATACAAATCGTACCAAGGTGAAATATTTTCAGTAAATAGAAACTTATTTTTTATTTCATTTTCATGGCTGGAGTTAAATACACGGGTGTTCATTAGAGTGACTATGAGTCTTCTAGCTACGATGTGAAATGTTTTAAATTAAATAATTAAGATATCCGAAGTGAGCAATCAATTTTTATTACAATGGAAAAAAAATTCAAACATACACAAAAGAACATCTACAATTTTAATGTATAAAACTTTTTCACATTGAAAACGACACATTTTTTATCCCACCCCTTCCCAGCACACCGTAACAAAAATCCCACCCCTCTATGGTAACGACAGTGATCCATTGGGCAGGTGAAGTAGAGTTCATGTTTATTGACTTAGGTATTTGAAGTGATGGTGTCGTCAGCACTATGCCCAGCTGCCTTTATACTTTCCCCAATGTGTTCAGGTACCCATCAGAGCTGGGTGGACTCAGGGACATCCTGCAGTCGTGAGTCTGTACCAAGCTCCAAACTCAAGACATTTGGGCCATGAGCCGAATGTTCTACCATTCTAACACACCTTCAACCACTTTTCTGAACACTGCTGCTAATGTCTAATAGGAATACAACAATTGAACAAATGTTAAACAGATGGATTAATATTTCAGATCATAATGTAATAGATTAAAAATTAAGTTGAGATGTTACAGTAAATATTTGGTCAAGGGATGTAGCCATACATTGTAATTAAATATTTTAAGATTTGTATCCCTTGTATAATTGAAAAATTGAAAAAGACATGAAAATTATTATAATTAATTTGAAGAGAAATGGAAAAATTAGAAGGACATAAAAAACAGAAAGATCTTATAAACAACCTATGCTGCACTTAAAAGTGAGTTTCAGTGGAAAAAAAAAACATCTATCTCAGTAGTAACTAATGTTCTAAATTTAAAATATTTAACATTTAAAATTCAAAAGCAATATATTTTGAAAGGCTTGTATAATCTTTTAAGTACAACAAATAGATTGTTATACATAGATGTTTAACCAGAATGTAAAATGTTTAAACTAAAAATATTAAGCTTAAAAATAAAATAAAAACAAAAAAATACTTTTAAATCAAATTAATGATTTAGGAAATATCTGCCTTAATTAATTGATGTTTATTATTTTAATTTTCAAGATTAATTGAAAAAGATATACATTATAAAGTCTACCAACTAAATAATATTTTGCCAATAAACACAAAAAATTATCACAGATTTGTACTTGGACTTTGAGGTGAAGGAATTCATCTTCTTTAGATTACTTTAGAAGGTATGTTCACTTAACTTGAAACAAATAAAAGTATTTTAATTTGATTAATACCAATTTATTTTGTGGGATTTGTGATAACTGTCATATGATAAAGAAATGAACTAAACATATGTTTTTTTTGTTGCTAATAAGGCTTATGTATTAATGAAATGGAATTGCTGTTCGTTTATTGTGCATGTAGCTAATCAATTTCTAAAAAAATACATAATTTAATTTTGTTTAATATTTAAAAAATAACAAAAGCCTACCCTTTATGGGTAATATTTAGATCAACTTGAGGGGGTAGAGTGCTAAAAATAATATATCAACGATTGCATAGTATTAGATATATACTAGAATGTTAAAATTGTCATTAGATTATAACTAACAAATTTAGATACTATAAATATATTTTTTATTGCTGTTTTTCTCGCCTCCCTGAATTTTTAACTCAAAAATTGTTACTCGTAGGCCTATATTATTTCTATGATACATAACCTGTTATATTAGATGAGGCTTCTTAAGAAATTATAATTTTAAAAAACCTTAAAGTAAAATTAGCTTTGAAAAAATGTATGTCTTCACTTATATAATTTTTAAAAAACAGCGCCATTTCAAACTTGGTGGTCCAAGGGCCAGAAGAAGTAGATTTTACCTGTTTATGTCACAATGATTGGCCACTTTACCTTTCCCTATCATGAGTCAGGTACTCTTCTTATTTTTTAAAGCACAATAATACTTGTAAACAGTAAATATGAAATTAAATTTTTAGTGATCACTGTGTTCTGATCATAAGGCTTTATCATTATACTAGTTTTAATATTTATAATTTAATACAAACCCTATGGGTAAAAGATATATCTTTTGAATATCTGAAACCCATCGTCCTAGCTGTTCATGGTCAGCCATGATGTGATGTGAACCATCGGCAAATGTTAATACAACTTGGTAAAGAGCAGGGCTTAGTGATGCATCAAGATAGTCATTTTTCAGCTGCTCAGCAAAAACAAATTGTAATTTTAGTTTTCAAGTCATGACTTCTAATTGTTTAGTTTAGTTAACACATAACTAACTGTCCAAATGTTGAATGTGTTTAAAATTTCATTTTATAGTGAAAAAAAAAAATATTTATTTTTTTATCAGCATTTTACAATGATTTGGTAACAACAAGCTGCATGAGAAAATTTGAGATTATAATTTTATGACTGTAGTAATAGAACATGATCAACAATATTAAACATACAGAATCTTATTTGGTTTATGTAAGAAATATTTTTTTAAAATCTTAAATTAAATTTAAAAAATAATTATAAATTGATCTATACCCTTAATGTCTTTTGGTCAAGTTCTGCTATGTGTCCTGTGCCTTTTTTTAAACTCATTCTTATTTTTAGAAATGAAATCAATTTGGCATGAATAATTAAAAGACATAACCATTGAAGATTTGTTTCAGAGCTTTATAATTTTTTTACAAATAACTTGCTTCTTTCTTTTGCAAAATACTGGATATTTTTTAAAAATAGTCCATAAGATGAAAATAAAGCAAAGGTCTTAAAATTATTGATCTGCACAATGCAAATCTCCTTAGATTTTTCCACAAAAGAGATTTTAGTTCTCTAGACTGTACTACATCTTTCTTGTTATTTGACATTAATAAACACACACAATGTTTTATTATTCAAACCTAAATACTATGAACTTTAGTCTTTTAAAACCAATAAGAGCAAAGATAATTTAAATTCAAAACCTGTGGTGGTTGAGTACTTAAGCTCATGTGATTGCAACGTATTTCTTCGTTATTAGAATTCACAATAACAAAGGTAGCAGTCTGATCAACCACGGCAATCTCAAAAGCTGTTGACAGACAATTATTTTATATATATATATACATGTATATATTTATTTATATATATATATATATATATATATATATATATATATATATATATATATATATATATATATATATATATATATATATATATATATATATATATATATATATATAGGCCTATATATATATATATATATAGGCCTATATATATATATATATATATATATATATATAAATTTATTTATTTATTTGTATATAGGCCTATATATATATATATATTTATATAAACTTTGGGCTAAAAGTCTAATGCCCTACCACACTTTCCCTCAGACAGACAAAAATATTGGCAGTATATATATATATATATATATATATATATATATATATATATATATATATATATATATATATATATATATATACATATTTACGTTAATTAGTTGTAAATATAGTTACGGTTGTTTTTATTAATTGTGTCTTTAGTGGATAAAATTTTTATTTTTATTAATTTAATACATATTATACCTGGCTTTTGTTTTCCTCTGTACATGGTCACATTTTTTTTATTTACAAAATTTTTTAACACAACATATATTTTTTCATTGTTGTGTGTCAAACTTTGTTGTGGCTGTTATATTTTCCAATAAAAAGAATTTTCTTTGAAAGGTGATAAAGTTTGGGAATATCCAATATTTTCACAAATAAATATTTGTGAATCCTGTGAAAAGTTGGTCATCACTATAAATAGGTACAAAATATAATGGGGAAATATAGAAATATATATATATATATATATATATATATATATATATATATATATATATATATATATATATATATATATATATATATATATATATATATATATATATATATATATATATATATATATATATATATATATATATATATATATATATATATATATATATATATATATATATATATATATAAATTATATATACATATACATATATATATATTTATATATATATATATATATATATATATATATATATATATATACATATATATAATTATATATAATTATATATATATATATATATATATATATATATATATATATATATATATATATATATATACATATATATAATTATATATAATTATATATAATTATATATATATATATATATATATATATATATATATATATATATATATATATATATATATATATATACATAACAGTGTGTGGGCAATTCAATATTTATTGAATTTCAGTGTTAGAAGAAATTATAAATCTTTTAAAAATTTATTTCCTTTATTAGTGTTGCATCATTTTAAAAAACAATTTTTAATTTTAGACTTATTTCAAGGTCTTAAATAATTTTAAAATACATAAGCTTGATTCTAATCTCAATTATCAAGATAAATGTTCCTTTGTAAAGTCATACACATCTTTCAGTGTCATTTAAGAATTTTTTCTTTATCAAGTAGGCCGTAACAGCTTGAATTTTCAACTAGAATTGGCTGGGCTGGTACATTTGGTTCAAATAACTGTCATCTTGCCATGGTTATTTTACAATAAAAGTCTTCAATCTTTCTTAATTTTGTTTATTGATATTTAGTTTCAATTGAGGGGCTCATTTTACTTTCCATTTAATTGTATGGTAGATCTAGAAAGCATAGTTATTTTTATGTAGCATTTAACCAATGTTGCCTACCTCATCTTCTGCATGAATATACCCAGCGTATAAAAAAAATCAACTACAATGACAAAAGTACACATAACACCACTTATTATCTGTAGACAAATAGCTTTGCAGAATTCATAAAATTAAATGAAACTAAAGTATATATTGTTGAAACGACAATGAAACTTATTACAGAAACACAACACATTAGCAGACATGTATAGGAAGACAGCCCACCATTTGTTACAACAAAACAACCTATAGATTGTGTTTTTGTTTTAAAGACATCGTTTCTTTTAAGTGTTAAGTCTTTCTTGTAAAATATATTTTTAGAGAATATTAAATTGAAGCTCTACATCAATATTAAGCTGAGGCCATTATATTTAGTTGGTAGGATAAACTTGAGTTCAGCAAACCCTGATGAGTACCTAACTCAAGCTAGGAAAACATAAAGTGTCTAGACAAAGAACAGATACTACAGTTCTGTTTTACAGAAATAGTTGAATTCTTTAACACTGTACTGACTTAGGTGACACAAGTTAGACAAGATTAGTTGAAATATAGTTTAATATATATATATATATAGATAGATCTATATATTATTTTGCTTCCTGTGATATTGATGATGAACTTGGAAAGTAATAGATAACTATAAAGTGAGATTTTTCATTAAAATGTATTTATTACATACTAAGGTGAAGAAGACTAAATTATCTAACATTTATACAAAAAGAAATTAAATGGAGATTATATATTTGCTCCATATAACAAGCTTGGATGTGATAAGATAATGAAAAAATGGATTATGTCCAATCATATAAAAATCAAAATATTAAATAGCCAGCAACTAATAAAACTTCATGTCGGATTGGCATTTTGCATCAAATATTTATTTCTTAAACAAAGAGCAAAAAATAAATTAGGATTTGAAAAATTCTAACAGCTGACATAAAAATTGTTAATGCATACATAAGCCACTACTATCACACAAACATACCAGGACTATTCTAAATTGCTTATTTAATTTTTCACATGAATAATTTCTAAATGGGCAAGTATTATAGAACTTATATATAATTAAGTTCACTGTTTAATAACATTAACAATATTTAAATCAAATGGCTTTGATTTAAATATTGATTTTAGTTCTCATCTTTAGAAAAATAAAAAAAATAAAAATAAAAAGACTTTTACTATATTCACAAAAAAAAAAAATCACAAATGAAAAAATGCACTAAAAAGTAAAAAAAATAGATTTAATTTGGTGTATACTTTCTAAAGCAATGAGCTGTTATGACCAAAAATGAAAGTCTGGGCGCTCAATGATACAAATTAGACATTGTTCTTATATTATATTATTATGTTAAAGAACAGTCACCTGTCAATGAACTGCCCATAAAATATGTTTCCTTAACACAATTAGTTTTTATGTTATAAAATCTTTTATGTGAGCTTTATTTTCCACTCTTTAGTCATTCATTTTTCCAATACTTGCAGAATTTTCTATATTAATTTTTACATTTTAAATTGAATTATAATTAGATATTCTTGCATTGTCATAGAAGACCTACCACTGTGTCAAATTTCACCTCAATGGGACAATGGGTTAATTCAAGATTTGCTGATGTTGCAGACACACACACACAAACATACTGAGCAGGCTAAATAAAAACCTGCATGAATGTTCATAAAACAAGTATTCTTTTCCTTAATATTAATAAATTATTTTAGGAATTGGAGACATGTAGCCTAGTAGAGAGCTAAACTGCTAATCTGTAAGTCTCTATTTTGAATCTGGGTTCAAGTTAGTAGACTGTCCCTGAGTCTACCCAGTTCTTTTGGGTACTTAACTCACATTAGGGTAAGTAAAGATTGCTGGACATAGTGCTGACTACTATCTATTCATACACCGAGGTCAAGAAACAGGTGAACTCTACTTCACTTGCCACATAGACTGTCAGGTTTGGAGGGGGAACTTTACTGTTTACTTTTAGCCTAGATACAGGAACAGCAATTTTTTTTCCTTGGAAAGACACTCTTACAGAAATAATTATTGCTTAAACTAAACAATACTTCAGTGAACAATCTAATTCTTTAACAGATCAAGTTTCAATCTAAATGATGCACTTAATCTACCCTCTAACAAACTTTATTTAGCTTTCAGGTTTTTACTTGAAGACTTGTTTCTTTTGCAGAATAAAGAAAGAAACTATGGAAAATAAGACAATCTTATCATTTATTTGTTGACTAGATTCCATAATCTCTTAATAGAAATATCTTTTCCTATTTTCAAAATTATAACTATGATTATTATATATTTGAATTTATTGACAATTTGTTAGCATACTAAGAACATTGAGGTGGTGTTGTCCAATGGTAGAGCCTTTGACTGCTAAATTGACAGTCTTGAGTTTGAACCCAGGATTGACTGTACCAGGTCACTGAGTCCACCCAGCTCTGATAGGTACCTGACTTATGTTAGGGAAAGTAATGCTAGCTGGGCATAGTGCTGACCAAAGATCAATGAAACAGATGTGCTCTACTGCACCTGTGCTATGGACAGTAAGGTTCAATAGGGTACTTTACATATTAACAACCTTGTGAAAAACAATCAGCCTAGAGTAATCATAATAGCATATTGAATGAATTAATTTTACTGTAATCTTAGTTAAGGTAATTGTAAATGAGTATGTGAACAAATTTTGAGTTACCTAAAAGATGCTTTTGTAGCTATAATGAAACAACAATGCACAAAAACAATTAATAAACAATAATTAATGTAATAATAATAGGAAAGAAATATTAAAAAAAAATTGTCAAATATTACATATTAGCTGTCATATAAATCACAACAAAATTATGAGAACCAACTAATAAAGCTCTTAATAAATACAGCTTGACTTGCATATGGTTTCAACTTATTGGCCTAACTTCTGCAAATACCTGATATTATCTTATCCTAAAGTGTGGCATGTCATACAATGGACGAACTATTTGTAAAAAGTACCGGTCATGCTCAACTGTATTATATCTTTCAATTTCTCTTGTAACAAACACCAAGGTTCTTTTCTGGGATTATTTGGCTAAATAAATAAATAAGGAAAAATATTTAACAAATATATAACATTTTTAAAAATTAAATAATTAGCCTAATTTATTATATTTTAAACTTCATAAGCAAAAATGAGTGTTCATTTTTAACAAGCTACCAAAATATTGATTATTACACTCGAACTAGTGATACAGTTTATACAAAATTATGGTTAATTATTTTAAATAATTGTGGATGTAAAACAAAGAGCTTATCATTTAATAGCAAAATATAATTGGAACAATCTTACAAATATTTTATAAAAATTAAAATTTTTAGTAATACAAACCCTTTTTGAACAATGTGTATCTTTACAATTTTGTGTAAATTATCTCCCAGTTGCTCACTATCTGCTTTCATGACATATGTATCATCCTTTAATTCTAGCACAACATCATAATCAGAAGGTTGACCATTCAGGTAGAATTTTTTCAGCTGTGTAGCAAATTTGAAATTTACAAACCCATTAATTTTATCACCAAACATAAACTCTGTTTAAAACATAAAGCACAACTAACAGATTAGCTCAGTTTAATATAAAGTACACACAAGTACACTCATGTACAAGCAACAAGTAAATCCTTTATATAATTATTTTATTTCAAACTGTGAGAACTCTTTCTACTTGAGCTGTTTAAAAAAAATTAATTTATCATTGTTTCTGCCTGATGACAAAATATACAATAGCTTTGCCTTTTATTCTACCTACTGTTTATTTAACATGTTTCACAACTAAATAATTCTAAATAATGTTTAATTAAATTTAATGATTGCAACTCTATAGAAGAGCTGTATACAGTTTTCCCATACAGTCCTGCATGTGAGAAGTGAATGTAATTGAAGTAAGGATGCTATGCTTGTTTTAGTAGTTATACATTATCAGGTAGAATAATGATGACAATTTGGCTGTGAAGTAGTAACGATAATAAGGAAGTCAAGAAGAGCTATACTGCTATTCTTTAGGCCTTGATTCATCACATAGGGTAGTATCTACTCATTTGAAGACAAAATCTACTACATCTGCTAAAGGCGAATATGTTACTATTCTCTTTGTGCAAATGAACATTGTTGTGTACTGACATGAAAAATAAATGTCAAATTTCTGAACAGCAAATAACTTGAATCTTCAGCAAGTTACTGAAGTTCTTTTTTGAAAAAAAAGAGTCTGTGACATACAAACCATAAAGAAGTGAGAGAAAACTGTATCACTTTTTAGCCCTTAATTTGATAATGCAGTCTGAAACTTCCTAATATGTCTAGTTGGGGTTAGATATTTTGATCAACCACCTACTAATAGTACCTGCTAATATTACTGTAATAAAATAAAGTTTTATTATTTTCGCTATTATTACCTGGAGCAAACTCCAGTGAATTTGCATGTACTTTAAATAAGTGCTTTAACTATTGTTAGTTTCAGCTTATGGCTCGTAACAGATTATAGACAAACACTAAGGTTTTTACTATCATATTGAAATATTTAAAATCTTGAAGCAAACTTATAACTTCAATATTAAAAAACTGTTGGTGTTGAGCTACTACTATTTTTTTTTCATTGATGGATATTATAAGCACAGATTACTGAATACAGAAACCAAACATGCTAATGGCAAAAAAAAATTATTTTAAATTCCTTCTTCTTCTTAATTTTAGTTTCGGAAGGGATACCCCTTCAACACAATTAATATTAAGGATATGTGTCAACTGGTTATGTGCCATTGATGCCATTGACTACAATTTCAGCCTGCTTTATCTTTTTGGATTTGCTTCCATAGCCTTTGTCCAACCAAGAACAAACTGCAAGGCAGCAGTTGTTTGATTTTGAAGTTGTCTCTCCTAGAAGAGTGGCTGTCCCCTGCCCAAGGGTTCGAACTCGAGAATTTTTGGTTCAGCAACCATGAGCTTTACCTACTCGACCACTCCGACCCCTATTTTAAGTGTAAAATGAAACAAAAATTGTACCAAATTACCTTTAGAGCTGTATCGCAAGCATCAACTGGCTTAGTTACCTCTTCCCCAGTTGGGTAGACAATATGACATAAAACATCACGATCTGTTTCAGCCTCATATTCTAAAAAATAATGGAAAGTTGTAATCTTTTCTTAACCCTAACACACACAGGTCCTGTACATGTACAGATCAAACAACTTTAGGTAGCAGTACAGAAAATGTGGTCTATAAAATGTGATCTCTGCAGCATTTATATTTGAGGTTTTGGCTTTGACATAACCAACATAATAATACTTATGAATATACAGGACTAAATAGGGTCAATATGTTATATATATATATATATATATATATATATATATATATATATATATATATATATATATATATATATATATATATATATATATGTGTGTGTGTGTATATATATAATTAAATGTTAGAGGTAATTAACCGATAGATGTGTCAGTCTCTTTAGCTTATGATAAAACTTTAGGAGACATACTGTTCAACAAATTGCATTTTTTTTTTTGTTTTTATGTTTGTAACTGTAAGTTAATATCTGCAATCCTGTTTAAGAAAAAGCATTAGAAAAATAGTTTTAATTCTTTCTTATTGTTCAAAATGTAAGGCTATTTGATCTTGGCTGTTTTTTTACATAGCTCTTTACAATCATAATTTCTTTAAAAAGTATTGATATTAGAAAATCTTAGCATTTTGTAAAAATGTGGTTGTGAAAATAGCTATTCTGTACAAGCCCTATATTAAAGTTGAAAATGTTGCAATATTATAATCAAAGTAAAAAGTTAAAAAAAAGTAAAGAATCCTCTTTAGACCGAGTGATCCATTGTGCAGATGAAGTAGAGCTAATTTGTTTCTTAACCTTGGCATAAGAAGGAAAGGTGTGGTCAGCACTTTGCTCAGCTGCTTTTACTTTCCCTAACATGAGTTAGGTACCTACCAGAGCTGAGTGGACTCAGGGAAGTTCTACTGACTTGAACCAAGATTCAAACTTGAGACATTTGGTTTAGTAGACTAGTTCTCTACTGTATAGGCAACGCTATCTCATAAATAAACAGTGAGAATTGTTAAATGAAAAGTTCATTAAAAGTAATTACCTTCTGTTGCAGGTTTCTGGTTTTTACTTTCGTCACACATTTAATTACAGCTGTTGATTGATTAGTGTGGATAAAGCTTGAAAACGTCTAAATTTTAAGTACTTCTCACTATCAATGATCTGAAAATGACATTTTATTTTTAACAGGGTGGAGGTGAACACTTGTGAAAGTAGGCTATATAGTCCCAATTATATATATATATATATATATATATATATATAATAATAATCTGACCAGTTTTGCATAGGCTCTGCCTAACCTAGATTCTAGATCGTGACGTAGATAGCCGAGGGCTAAATTTAGCATCGTTTTTCGGGTATCTCCGTTTACTAGATTCTAGATCTAGATTCAGTGTTTTCTGTTAGGGCCTACTTGTACGGTTTTGTCCGTAATTTTTCGATTTTGACACCCCTGTTGCGGAATTAGGCCGCAAATGTTACGCAAAAGCCCACAGTAAACATCAAAATCGATTTAGTATCGACCTTTTTTTTTCTTGTGTTAAATTTCCGTGTTATCCGGTTCTATGGTTTCAAATCATAACAATCGACGCCCCCCCCCCCCCCCCGCCCCCAAATCCCTTCCCGACAATATCTCGGCAGTCGTTGGCTCTATTTATATTGTGAACTTTATTGACCCCGCGAGTGGTCTGTTGTCTCCTGATCGGTGATGTCCGTAAAGAAAAAAATTGGAATGTGACCTAAATCACTAAAATTCTGGTCGCGCATGGAAATTAATTATAATTAAACCTACATCTAGAACTAATATTTTTTCTTCAAGAAAATAAACCTTAGGTTTAAATAAAAAAAGAATAGCCTGAACTGTGCGAGCGTAGGTTTCTATTTATTTAAATTAAAATTTTCTCGGTGTGGGTTAAACACAAAAGGGCGAAACGTAGCTGCGGAATTTCGGGTAAATAGCGAGACATAATTTATCGAATTATTGTGTTCTGTTATTTTAGATGTGCGAGAAGACACGTTTTTACGAACCTAGATCAATCACTGTTCTTTGTGTACCCCACGATAGCAGATGTTTCGGTCACTGCGACCTTAGAAGGTCTTCTAGGTCTATCTCAATTTACAGTGACCTCGCAGTATATTAATAATTAATATAGTCGTGGATCTTGATCTAGATTTTTAACTATTTACCAACAAGATTTTCTAATACCAATAGGCATATTTATCACGTTCGTTAAAAAAACCAATAGCAAATGACGTAATCGTCAATCTCACGTGCGCTATGGACCAAATACACATTGACTGTATCAGATGGGTGAGGCTGTAGACAGAACTTTTTGATGTCATTCTTGACGTGGCTGTCTGGTTATTTATGACGATAGAGGTTGGGGTAAAATTCGCATTAATTACGTGACGTCATCAATGGACTACCGCTAGGCTGTGTAATTAAAAAAAAAACTAAATCCTAACATTACCAGCTCATTAGCATCGCCGATTGTCTTCTTAAAAAAAGGAAAGATTTTGCGCCGACGTAAAAAAAAAATGTGTATTTATCAAAAGAAAAGAAAAATAATTTGAAGGACTATGACTGTGCTGTTTTCACTCAACTTTACGGACACTTTTTACCGCCTCTCACTTCAAGGTCGCGCTGACCGTAAGACCTACGACACGAGACCACGCGCGAGCACAGTAGTGTCTCACGGTCAAGTCATTTCTACAAACGCTGTTTATCTAATTTTAACGTGGTTATCTTTAATATTGGGCTTACTGCTAGATTAAAGCGAAAACAAAAACTATATCTGCATCGTTTTAGGTCATTGAACAAAATATGTAGGTCTGCTATAATTTAGTTACACCATCTAGCAGGGTCTAGATCTAATTGATTTTTACTGTGGTAAAACGTCCTTGAAATGTTTAAGAAGCCTCGAATTACCGTGTTTGAGAAAATTGCCGCTGTCACTGCCCCCTCCCATCCGCTTGTAAAAAAAAAAAATCCGCTTTTCACTTTGTTGGGCGGCTACATATCTGACATGAGTATTACTAGCGTAGTTACTTGTGAAATTGTTTTAAAAAAACAACTTAATTCTGTTATTCCGCGATATGAACTAACTTAAAACTTCCACGATATTTCTTTACGTCATCATGTATATCATAGGTGAGGACATTGGGGTCGTCCATAAATGACGTCACACTCGTAGGGGGAGGGGGGATCCGTAATCGTGTGACCGTGTGTGATGAGGGGATGGGGGGGGGGGGGGGTCAGATCGTGTGACATCACACTTTTGCATTATTAAAAAGCAATGTTAGAAAACGAATTTTAGCATTTTAGAAGACTGTTTTAATAAATTGTAAAAGGAATTGATTAAAATACTCTATTTTTACAGAGTTCAGACAAGATTTTGGGAAAAAAATCCTATTTTAAGAAAAATTGAACTGCAATCAAGGGGGGGGGGGGTGGGGTGTAGGAGGGGTTATAGGCTGAGGTGTGACGTCATTTTAGAGGGCGGGGCCTGGCTTTTTGTGATGTGTGACGGAGGGGGGGGGGGGAGAGGTAATAATCTTTTAAAAAGCGTGAGGTCATTTATGACATTAAGCAGGATAATTTCTACAAGCATAGCTAGGTTTTTTTTTTGTTTCTATATGTGTGCAGAGTCCTTTTTAAAGGAATATGTGTGCAGAGTCCTTTTTAAAGGACTATCAGACAGACGAACCAATGCTTCCTTTTATGTATAATGACCTGATTCTGATTAGCACTTGACATTGACAAGTCATTCAATTGAAGTTGGGTTTGTTGCTGACTCTCTAATAAAGTCTCTAGAAAAAGTAAAAAAAGCAAGTGAGCTTCAAATTCTCAATTTCAAATCTGATTGTAAGACAACTTTGATAGGATTTTCATCAAATTTTTTTGTTGAAATCTCCATTACTTTAGTCATTAGTGAGAGACTTAGCCTAATGCAAATGTTTAAAAATAGAGCCAGTTCACCAAAAAAATGAAGGGAATTCTTCACATCCTAGTCAACAAATGGAAACTGAAATCAGCTGAGTGTGACCAAGTTCTGTTTCAATTTTCAACATTCATAGATTCATGTACTCTAAATGGTTGTCTATCTAAATCTAATTGAGAACATGATAGGCTGGACATTTTTTTCATAGAACAGCTTGGTAGCAAAATTTCTTATGTGAACATTTGGAAAATTGTTAGAGATCTATTGCTTCTGTCACATGGTTAAGCCAGTGTTGAAAGAGGTTTTTCTGAAAATAGAAGTTGGAGGAGTGTCATTTGACACCAAAGATACTGATTGCAAAAGGGATTATGCTGGACTCTCAGACAATCTCCTGACTTAGATAATTTTGTAATAACACCAAAATTATTTCAAAAATTGTGTGTGCAAAAAACATACATCACCCTCATTGTAATGCCCGTTAGTGGTAGTTTATACCTTGAAATTCCCCCCAAAATCACCTTGAAAACCTTGAAAAAGCCTTGAATTTTCTTTTGGGATTTGGCTATGGACCCTGATATATATATATATATATATATATATATATATATATATATATATATGGCGTAAGAGTACCTTACCTAAAAAAAAATAGGTTACCACTCAATTAACAGTGACCTCACACTAAACACTATCAAACTATCTATATAGAATTATACATAATTAGGTATAGTAGACTATAACTGTCACTTAGTTAGTCTTTTTTAGTGTGATCAGTTCTATGCTCAGCCACCTTTTCTTTCCCTATTTGAGTAAGGCATAAGTAAAAAAGACATGACCTGGCGGCTTACGACTAAAAATAATACTTAGATCTTCTTGATCTAGAAGTTAGTATTACTTAGTACTTAGTAAGTAATAAAAGTAAGTAGGGCCCTAACTTCTAAGTAATGAAGTAGTATTTTATGTGTAGTCTACTGTAAGTAAGTTTTAGTAAGCCTACCCTAAATTTATGATTTAATTTTAAATCTTACGCGGCCTTAAATAGTAGGCCTGCGCAGTGTCCAATTTTAAAAATTGCAGCCCTCTAGAAGTTAATATTTTTAATCAATGATGTAAATGTAGTGACTGTAGTCTGTAGTGAAAACAAGTTCCCTTTGTCACAGAAAAGCACCAAAACATACGAAACATTCCCGAAATCTATTAATAGATTGGCGTACTTAGTAATAACATAACTGGAATTTCCGTTTTAAAATGGCTTTCCGGGGAGAAATAAATTATATAAAAATATCGTTTCGCATTTTTCTACCAAATTTTTTCTACTTTCAAAAAATAAGTGAAAACTATTCAAGCTTGCGGTTTTATTTGTTTGTTAAATTAACAACAGTTTTTAAACTGAAAACGTAAAGCATTTAATGCACAATATACAGCAGTATGGCATTTATATAACTACCAATTAGTATAGTCAGTGGTTTCACCCGGTGCGGCACTATGTGGTGTCACCCCCCCCCCCCCCCAAGTCTATGTATATATTATATATATATATGTATATATATATATATATATATATATATATATATATATATATAGGGCCTATATATATATATATACATACTTATATATAATATATACATAGACTTATATATATATACATGAAAATAAATAAACAAATATGTGTGTGTGATGGCCTACGTATGCCTACAATTTAAATATAAGCCGCATACGCGTACATGTACGTGGATATGTGTTAGTCACTGCATACTTAATAGTATCGATTTTTATCAATAGTCTGTTAATAATACAGTTGGATTTAGCATTGTTTTCTCTATAGTTAGTACGTTTACGTCATGGTGTCACCCACACCCTCTTGTAATAACTTTAATTAATCATTAATGGAACTGGCAAAAATGCATTTTTCTTCTGTATATTTTGCAATTTTCTGCGTTTGTGTCACCCTCCTAAATGGTGTCACCCAGTGCGGTCTTCACTACGCCCCTGATTCTAGTAGGCAATAGTTTAATGATAATCTACATTATTTGCCAACAAGCGTCACAATTCTAAAACATAAAGCCTATGATTTTGACCACGGATCTAGATCTAAATAAAATCTAAAATAGTTTTGAATTGAGCTCTGCTTTAACTAAAAATATTTTTAAAGGTCACTCTTTCGAACCTAGCGCCTCACGGGTCAGATAAGGTAGAGTTTGTCCTGTTTCTGAGACCGCGCCTTTGATGGGACAATGTGGTCATCACCATCAAATGCCTTTACTTCTCTTAATTAAAGTCAGACTTTCAGCTCAGGTTAGCAGAAGTGCACTCTGCCACCCGACAACGCCATCCAATAGTATTCTAAATGCTTTAGTAAACTTATAATTGTGTACATTATTATTAACTAACAGATCTCTAATAACATTTATATTGCTTGACTCATTGTCCAGTTAACGTTTAATATCTGGCTCTTACTTATTACGTTCTCAATGGGCATCATAATATTTTGCTTATACATTGATTACATTTCTACATCCATCTCCTGCTTATCAGCCCCATCGGACATTACCCCCCCCCCCCCCCCCCAACACTACTTTAGGAAGAAGATCCAGTTTGCCACTTCAGTAAAAAGCCGTACTCTGACTTGAACAAGATGTGTGCACTTGGAATGTGCATTTTTGACTTTTGCCTTGATGTGGTAAAATTGATGTTTAAATTGTGTTCAGCTATAACATTAACAAGCGTTAGTTATAAGACGTGTTACTTTTAAAAATTTTTATACGGATGAACAGGTTCCTCTTACGTGAGGGTAGTTAAATTCCATAAACGGTTTTAAGACTAAATAAATATAGATAAATAATAAACCGAAAAATACTGCTTTTACTTTTAAAATTGATTCTCTATATCCTAAACTCTTTTTGTCATACGGATCTGACATAAGAGCCCCGGCATTAGTATTGTTGGTGTATCAAACAAGTCAGCAATATATATCTTTATCTCTCTCTCTCTCTCTCTCTCTCTCTATATATATATATATATATATATATATATATATATATATATGTCCTGTATATATCATATGCCTATCTAAAAATATATTATTCTCAGGGTGCACAAATGCCGATGTGATCAGGTGATCAGTATCAACATGACGAGTCTCCCTCACCTACAGACCATCTTTTATCTATGTGTTACCGCGATAACTATAGGGCGACCAGTGGCTTGCGTAAACACGACTATTAAACAAGTCTGAAAGAAACACTGAGTATAACAGCCTGGAACCTGTATAATTTTATTTTCTAAATTAATCTCCAACATTAATTCGTAAGCAGTTTAACTTTAAGCTCTACGCAGTACATTTATTATTTATTTTTTGTATTTTGTTTTCTATTTTCTATCTTTTTTAAACGAGCAAGACCCGCCTATTTTAATCAATCTTTAGTAGAGAAATCTAAAATGTGCTAGAAGATCGGTAGACTAGATGCAGTTGTTCTCCATACCGCTCTTTGACACTGAGGTTGCTCACGTGACTATTGACACAAATATTTTCTTTGTAAAAACACGAAACCATATATGGAAAAAAAATTGGACAAAAATTTTGACTTCGAGTTGGAAGGGGATACTGACGTCATTTAATTAATCCGCTCTTGTAATTATCAAGTTGACTAAGCAAACACGAAACATCAGTGAGCTTCCAACCGTCGAAACACTTCATTTCAATTTGAACAACTTGAACCGATGAACTCAAAACACGAAGACACATTTTAGAATTTTAACACAATTTAAATCTCATACGTTAAAAGTTAGCATCTGTAATGAGTCATAAAAGGGTAGTAATTTAACTTTTATACTTCATAATTAACGATAAGAATAAAAAGTTAGAAAACAAATCGACTTTTTTAAAAACTTAAACGAAAGATTCGTTGTACTTTTGTGTGAGAAACACGTTTGAAAAATTAATGAATTAAGGTAAACATTGTATCCTTTAACTACTTTATGTTTATAATTAAGATACTTAGATCAAATACTAAAGATTTTTTTTATTTTTTATTTTTGCGTTTAAATTATTAATTGAATACACTTTTGTAAACAATTAGGCTGCTCTTTTATTATCTTTATACACTTACAAGTGCTGTGTAAGTTTACACATGTGCATATGTAATTATGTAGGCCATATATATGCTATATACATATACATACGTATACACATGCGCATTCATACACATTTATAACAAAATAAATAATACATTTAAAGCTAATGTTCAAATATTTATGCAGATTATCATATTCAAAGCAAATGTCATTTCTGACAGGAAATCTTCATACACTAGCTATAGTGGTAATAGTGAGCAATGCATTGTGTAAAGGTAAATCACATTTTCTAGACTTGTTTCTATAACTTATATACTATTCTGGATTATATATATATATATATATATATATATATATATATATATATATATATATATATATATATATATATATATATATATATATATATATGTGTGTGTGTGTGTGTGTGTTTTAGACAGAGAGATATTACATTTGAATTCCATACGACCGAATCCGTTGGCCAAAACTAAAAACTCCACAATTGTATGGAGGTATTAAACGATTGTTATCGTTTTGAAGAGTATGTACTTTTTTAAAACTATTGCTCATGTAAAAAAAAGTATTGAATCTCTTCAAGGTAGGGGGTGGGCACGACATGAAATTCGCCCCCCCCCCCCCCCCAGTAAAAAGTTTCTGAAAGTTTCTTGAGCTAGACTCGTTGTGCTTTTTGTATTATCCTTTATAATATACGTTTATGTTTAAAATTTCTTGCTGATACTAAAAAAATAACAATCAAATTTTACAAACTATCATTAAAATAGAGGTGCCAAAAAAATAAGAGATTTTCTATGCTTCGAACTTTTTGTAGTGTCCTTTTCATGTGCCAAAGCTTCTAAAAGTTAATAGGCAAGTCGATTTTGCATTGAATGAAAAAAACATAAAATGAGTGCATAATTTTCTAGATTCACCTCATCAGAGTTTGAGGTTTATACCAATGACATCAATATGCTTAGAGCTCTGATGTTTTAGAATATTTTCTGAAATATTGTACAAAGCTGTTTGTGTTGGTAGAGGGGTAAAGGATAACTTTCAAACGCGACACATCAAAAAGCTAATCTAGTTGACGACAAGTCTGATTAAAAGAATTTTTTTTCTCTTGTTTGTAACACATGGTCAAAGTATGAGTAGAATATTCTGCTGATATAATTCATTATAACTATCCTAAAAACATTTGTGTTGTGTATTTAAAACGTAGGCCTATTTAACATATTTATCATTTACGTGGCACGCTTTTTCTAAAAACTAATTTTTAATTTAAATAGAGATATCAACATGCGGTTACGCAGAAGAAGGCAAACCCTACAACTTTTCGATTCACGTTACCAGGAATTTATATGTAAAATATTATATTTATAAAAACAATCTAAATCTTTATGAATGCACTAGAGACGAAGGCTGTATACCAATACCAGGAGAAACTCAAAATCTACACATTAAAAGCAATGTTCAACAATCTGATGTAGCTTTACATTTTAACATGTCACTGAACGTCGTTACACGAAATGATTCAGGCAGTATTTGGACTGTGCGCGGCAAGGTAGACAAAGTACCATTGGGTGTACCTGAAAAGGTTGAGGATCTATTAAGCTGCAGTCTACACGTTTACGGTAGGTTTTACAGAGATTTGATATACATTTTGATTTGTTTATGTGTTTCTATATGTATCTGTATCTCTATCCGCACCTGCATCTGTATTTGTACCTACAACTGCATCTGAATCTGTATCCGTATCAGCATCTGTATCTGTACCTTCATGTACTTGAACCTGTACCTGTATCTGTATGTGTTTTTGAATATTTGTAGTTGTAAGCCGTATATATGCATGGTCATAGCCATATCCATCATCCATGTCGACACCCGCACCCGTTCCAGTGGCACTACATATATCAAAATACATGTGGATACACGTACACATACACGAATTCACACGCACACCCACTCCCTCAAAAATCTACACACAACCACAAATACCCACATACATTTATACATATACATATTGCTTACTTCTTACATTGTAGGTCAGCCAAGACCCCCAGAAATTACAGTGGATCAAACGACATGCGATTATAACAAATCGATAGTAATAAATGTAACATTAACAGATATCGTCAACGTCAATGGTATTTTATTTTCTATGCTTCAGAAAAATTGTACAGGAGATACTTTTGAATACGTACGTAAAACAACATGATTCTTTTTAAGGGAATGAATTTAATAATGGCTTTTATTAGTATACGAGCAGCAATGTCTGTCATACAAATACATCGACAAAAACAACAGACACATGTTTAAATTTTAAAATTCTCGTTTTTCTTTACACGTGTTGGTTTCTACGCTTCTAATGTGTTCTTTGGTTTTTCTCCTTTACCTTTTCGGTCCATGATTCGTTATATGTATGCAATTTTTTATTTAATGTAGAATTTGGAAAATATTTATTATTAATGAATAATTTACTAATTTAAATAGATATTAAACAAATGCATGGTATTAAAGTGTAATTCATAGGCGTAGAAATCTACACTATAAAAATCTAAACGAATTAGTTTCTAGGGATGTATCGAATTACGTGCCAAAGTCAATTATATATTACTGTAAGTACAAAAAATATTCCTGCAGCAATACTGCTTTTTATTATTTTTGTTGCCTTCCTTAGATCAACCCAGTTTTAATATATTAATTACATTCTTTTTATGATTTATGCTGATTATTATAGTTATTATAATTTGGTATTATTTTCAGCAAAATGTTTCAATATTTTATGTCCTTAAATTTCCTGATTGATTATATATTTTTGTTTTAGTTATTTTTTAATTTTATTTCTTTCGGCATTTTTATTTGTTGCTTTCATTATTCATGTTTAATATAATATTCTTATACATTTTAAGTTGCTTCCTGTCACTATGCGTACTGTATTTCAAGTTGTAATTGGATCTATAACATACTCTAAAGCTTTTGAAAGACAACATATTAACGACAAAAGCAAGATTGATTTTATTAGCTTTCAAACACTGAATGTTCAGTAGTACTGTTTTCTCTTCTTTTTAGCTATGTATGATATCTATAAAAAATGATACTTGCAATTCTACTGAAGAATGCATCTGCGTCAGAAAAGCACACAATGTATTTGAGGTCAAACTAAAGCGTTTTGTTGAACCTTCTAGCTATGTACTCAAAACAGAGTTACGGAATCCGCATACTACAAACACATTTTACGAGAACATTTGTAGTAAGTTATTCACATTACGTCTTAGATTTCATACTTCAAAATCAAGATGTATTTAAGAATCTTAAATAAGTAATATATATATATATATATATATATATATATATATATATATATATATATATATATATATGTATATATATATATATTACTTATTAACAAAGTATTTTTATAGTAATGCCTACAGCAAGTTACAAAATATTATTTATTTTAGCCCTGCCCTGCAGCAACATAACTAAATCTGTGGGATTGGAAGGTATGTGGTAATCTTTCAATATTTTTACTGTAATCAAAATAAAAATCCACGAGGAAATATATTCATGAATTAGCTGAAATCAAACTTAAGTTAGTGTTTTAAAGACGTTAAAAACAAATGTTCATTCTACATAGGATTGGCTCTTTAATAGCATTGTTTTCGGCATACAAGTAATTGTAACTCTATAATCCAACGAATCAAATTCGCAATATATATTGAGAAGATCAATTTTGACTTTCTCGTATATAGAATATGAATGCAGTATTGTAATTGTGCAAAAAAAAACAAAAGAGAATCAAATGAGGTTTTGACAGTCTTTGCGGTTTTACACTTCAATATTGTATTGTATACAGAATGTAGAGGACATATTGTAATCGTGAAAGAAATTTAAATTGATATTGTTATAAATCTCGAAATTTTACATATCTCCGGTCGGAAAATTTTTATTTTGCAATTTTGTCTGTCTGTGTATATGGCTGTCTTAGATTACTTTTAATTTTTGAGTGAACTCCGATATTTATTCTCATACAATGTAAAATTCATTTTTGATGAACTTGACAGTAAAGCTTGAAGTAAACAATGGCGAATCAACATACACACTGATAGGCTCAACAATTGGAGGCGGTATGGTCTTAATCGGGGTGATTATTGTCGCTGTTTTGGTCAAATTAAAAGGTATTTATTTGAATCGGCAACTGAACGTAAATCGATTTAAGAAATCTTACACCCGAATGACATTTTTGACAAACTTGAAGACGTCTCTCAAAGCTTTGATTTATCTTGATTGCATTAATTTATTTTTAGTAATAGAACATTTTATTGTTCAAAGTTTCTGCGTGTTGTTGATATTTATAATGAATATGTGTATACAGAGGAAATTGTAAAATAAGGGAAATTGTGTTGAGTACAAATGTCTATTTGATAGTTATACAAAATAAAATCGTTTATTTACGTTTAAAGTTTCAGTTTCAGGTAAAACTATCCTATCCACGCACTTTTTATCTACTTCAGGTAAAGCGAAATGTAACCCAGTTAACACATCAGCTACAAGCAGTGACAAGTCTAGAACGCCTACAGATAGCAGCCACTCCTATATTGATGTTGTAGAAGACCATGAAACACACGAAAACCCCTACGATGAAATAGTCGATTCTTCAACTGAATCAAACAGTGACAGAAATAGGCCCTACTAGACACTCGTACATTGAAGTTCACGATAACTATGAAAATATAAACACGTATGATCGGGTAGATACATTTACAGATGAAAGAAATGTTTATTTACAGACCTTTTACATCGAGCATATTACAACTGTTGGTTCTGTTGATGTTGTAGCTACAACACATGTATAAGTTATTACGTTGCAACACATTATTGGTATATGTAAAATAACCTATCCTACTTCTTACTCAATCGAAAATCGTGTGTTGGAATGCTTAGTTGAAAAATGTGGGCTTTTTTAATACAGTGTTAAAACAACTGTTCTTCGTAAATGTCTGGCGGATAAAATGGAACAAAGAACACATTTCAGAATAAGTATTATGCTCTGTAAAACTCTTATATACTAGTACTATTTATTGTTTATTTCTAGTGCAAATTGTTGTTAACTGTGTTTAGCCTTTAACAGGTTCTGCATAATATAATGTTTTAATAATATTAGAAATGTTTCAAAATAAAATCTAAATGATACATTTAGGCTGTTGCGATTCTGTAATGCAGTAATAATAAAATACAGCTCTAGACATTTAATAAGTCTGAAATTTATTAAATTGTAACTCTTTTTCACTGGAATCGAAAAAAAAAAAAAAAAAAAAAAAAAAAAACACTGAAAAATTGTACTGACTAACATGATTATCTGACTCATCCTCTCTTATCATCATCAAGTGGATTAAGTGAACATGTCGCATTAGTTCACTTCCAGCCACTGAGAAATTCCATTTCAACAACTTGAGCCAGGAAAACTACCATACAAAGACACATGAAATAATAAAGATTTCAAAATATTTTAATTAAGTCACTTAGGTAAAAAGTTTACAATTGTAAACGACTGTTTACACTGTCACATAGTTGGCAATAGACTACTTTGTAGTCCCCCACTCCTTAAATAAAGCAAAGAATAAAGAGACAGAAGACAACTTGACATTTATAATTAAATTTAAGGGGATATATGCACACAAAAAAATCTTCTAAAACTTGATGCTCTGACAAATTGTGGGTTTTTTTTGCACTTTTGGACACTTTTTCCAATTTGGTATTAAGAAAATAATTACTTCAATGAGAACAAAATTCCTTTGTGTTCAAAACGTTATTCTACCACATTAATTAAAAAAAAACAACATGTTTTCCCAATCGTACACGCTCTCTACCTAAAAATTAATGTCCATCACCTTATTGCATTTGGTATCATTGAAAAGTTGGATGTCTCTTGTAATAGTGAGGTAAAACATAATTCGGTACCGCCAAGGTTTCATGGCCGTAGATGGGCGCTTTTGGGAGCCCCCGGTTGTAATACCTCTCGTGCGCCTCGCACTGCCCCTGGGTCGGTTTAATCACTGAATGTAGGGTTCTCTCTAAAACTAAGGCGCTTTAGTGTTTACACGATTGCATGAGGCGCCAAATAGCAATCTGGTGAAGCGCAAAAAGACACGCCTGATTTAATTTAGTAAATGACCATAGAAACCAATAGTATCCCATGGCACCAAATAGCATGGCGATCGGATGAAATGTGTAGTAATGTATAACGGACAAACAAACACAAACTCACACACATACTTCCTTTTTAAAATAAAAATACTTTATATAGCGACATTAGACGATCATTATTATTTGCTCGACGGCTGACCCCTGGACTGGAAAATCGACTTTCCAGGCAACCACTTCTTAGATATCACACTATTTTGGGTCACGGTATATCATAATGAGTATTACAGTGACTCTTTTCCCACGGTCGTTGTTGTTTCTGGCAATGAGTTGGCACAATCTTAATTGTTTGCTTGCTATCTAAAGATGGAGCAACAGTAAACTAAGCAGTCAAAAGAAGCAGAGTTGCATCCCCTATTTTCCTCACGTTTTTACAACATTTTACATTCTTCTTTAATTACTAGACATACAATTTATGATCATGTTTTGGAACTATTTAAAACTACAAAATATATTATTATTATTTCAAATGTTAAACAAAAAAAAACGTCAAAAAACTGTTATAGATATAGTTGTTTGAAAGAGAAGAATGTTTGACTTGATCCGTCTCATTGTATTGAACATATCATCCAGACTACTTATAATATCTATCTATCTATATATATAATTCTCTTCTGGTAGACGCTGGAAAACAAGCTGTAAACGCGCTCCCTACCATCCCCACCCCTACATGGTCTTAGTGAGCTGTGGTTCACGCTATGTTTACCTTCGTGGAGTCGGGTTTAGTGACGGCTATTAGGGGCAGATAATTTAGTTTGAAACGATTTTAAACGTTGGGGGGTGGGGGTGGGGGGGTTATGGTCCTTAACGAGCTACTTATAGTGTTTTAAAGAAATATTTTCAGTGTCAGCGTTGGTACTGTCGAATTCACAAATTATGAATTACTGAAAAGTAGAAAAAACAACAACTAAATAGCGGCGTATGTTATGCCGCGGGCCGGCTCGTATATATATAATTCTCTTCTGTGAGACGCTAGAAAACAAGCTGTAAACGCGCTCCCTACCATCCCCACCCCTACAGTGTCTTAGTGAGCTGTGGTTCACGCGATGTTTACCTTCGTGGAGTCGGGTTTAGTGACGGCTATTAGGGGCAGATAATTTAGTTTGAAACGATTTACGTTGGGGGGGGGGGGGGGTGGGGGGGGGGGGAAGGAAGGGGGGTTGGGTTATGGTCCTTAACGAGCTACTTATAGTGTTTTAAAAGAAATATTTTCAGTGTCAGCGTTGGTACTGTCGAATTCACAAATTATGAATTACTGAAAAGTAGAAAAAACAACAACTAAATAGTGGCGTATGTTATGCCGCGGGCCGGCTCGTTTATAATATTATTCTTCTTTACTCCGACATTTCTTTCAGCTCTAAATTAATCAATCCTACTAAAATAAAAATAACCTTCTAGATCTAGTTATTATTTTTTTTTGGCCTTTTGGTCTAATAATAATAATGACTCGTATAAACACTAGACGCTTGTTCTATCTTGGCAGGAAAAAATCACACGTTTGTATAGCAACATTTTGTATGTGACTAGTATTGCAATTTAATACTTCTTCCCTTCTAACGCTGAAGTTTCTAGTCGTCCTATTCACGTTCATAATATATAATTTATACAATAAAAAATGTAACAACACTAAATCATCACATCAATAACGAGAATATATATATATATTTTTAAATTTTAGAATAAAACATACAAAAATCTTTTTTCAAGGTTAAACGATCAAACGGAAGTGTCAACTTAATATGTTAAGTGTGTTCACTAAGAGCAGAGTTGTTTGATAATGTTAATGAGGTAACGAAACGTTTTGAAAATTTGGTTCTCTGTTGAGGCGTTGTACTTTTGTTTTTTTAAGCGTATTGCTAATATGTGTATATTTCCTATGTACTATTTATTTTAAAACTAATACAACATAATATACAATTGAAGTAAGTGGTAATCATTTATTAGAGTAGGCAAAATTTTATAATTCATTTGAATAATTGAATGTTTAGTTTTTTTTTTACTCTGTATATGATGGGTCTATGAGAAATTCCCGAAAGACAGTTGTCCGAATGCCGTTTGCCCGAAGGCAGATTTCCCGAATGGACCCTTGCTTGAATGCGACAAATGCCCGAATGCCACTTGCATTTTTAAAATGTTGTACGTGCGCCTATTACATTATTTATTTTTGGCATACAAATAAGTCTATCAAATAAAAGTAAATTTAAGTATCTAATTGATAAGTATCTTATTAATAAATTTAATAAATTTAATAATATTCCTCAGGCCGATGGGTTCATAATTTTAATTTTTTTAAAAACCTATCCCCCCCTCTCGCCACGCCTCTGCTTCTGTGGATGTTTTTCAACGTCTTAACTTTAAGTTTCAAAAGGATCTGATTTTCTATGCATTAAGAGTATATTATTTACGTATGAGCTCTGTGTGTGTGTGTGTGTGTGTGTCGATGTAATTGTGACAGTGTCTGTGTTTGTCGCTGAGTCAGTGTGTCTGTCTGTGTGTGTGTGTGTGTGTGAATTTTTCGTTATGAGTATGCAATCTAACCGCAATGGGTGACGCCCCAGATTTTTTCTTGTTCATTTTTCTTCTTTTAGTTACAGTGACGCATGTGTCCAACTTAGTAGTTACATTAGTCTAGAACGAAACTAACTTAATAAGATTAAGCTGATTACTGTGAAATTTTAAATGTTAACTTCTTGTATTTTATATTGAATCATATTTCCGGAATAGGCACTTGAAAACACACTTAACAAAACCAGCGCTTTCGAACTAGTTAAAGCAAACTAACGTTTATTATTGACTTTAGCTATATAGTAAATTACATTACATCAATTAAAAATAGTTACATTATTTAGGGTCTTTAAAAATAATTATTTATGACTTGCTGTGAATAAAATGTTTGCTGTCAAATGGATGCTGCTGTTTTTCAACATCAGTAAGTAGACCTACAGTAATAATGTCAACAGTAGTAAACAACATTAAACCATATAACTATAATAATAAATATTATTATTCCATCCGAAGGAGAGTGAGAGATAATTTTCTACTGATAACATTTACATTAAAATTTAATGTATCATAAAATAAATTAAATAAACCGGGAGTGATCTCCGCTCAACTTTCTCGAATATTCTTATATAAAACAACAGGTGATGGGAACTCGGGCTATAGACATGATTTTTAATCCTTTTTAAATACTTAAAGTTTTAAAAATAGAATAAAATCTCGTAGACAAAAGAATTGCACACCTAGTGAACGCCAAGTAAAAAAGTGCATAATAGTGCGCACTATTATTAGTAGTTTAAAAATTCACATTAGTTTTTTGAGAAATCGGAAGTAGCGTAAATTACTACTTCCGGTCAATGGAAATTAATCAAAATTTAACAGAAGGTAGAGAATTAGATCTTTTACTTACATGTGAAATTTCATTTATCTATCTGAAATAGTACTCAAGTTATAGGCTTTTGAAAAATTCAAAGTAGGAAAAGTACCACTTCG